CTCTACTCTGGAAAAGCTCTGTCCAGAGGCACATCCCCGTATTGGCCATATAAGGAAGTACACCCGCCGGGTAACCATTGAATGCAAGCCACCTAATTCAATAGCAAGGTTCAAGAATACAGCATTTCGTAATTCAGATAACTAATCAACAGTAATCTAAAAAAATGTTTAGGACTGTGAATAAAGTTAAATGTTTGAATGAGCGGAGATGTTACGTGCTACCAGACGTCATCTCCATCTTTGTTTATGAAGTACCATGCATATTTTGGCGTTATATTAATGTTGACGAAGAAAGTTTAATTACTCTCAAAAAGTTATTACAAAGTGCGATGGAATTATTACAAATTGCGACAGCTTAGTTTATTACAAAGTGCGATGGACAGTTGTTACAAATTGCGACAGCTTTTTTATTACAAAGTGCGACACGGTTTATTACAAATTGCCACAGGTATTACAAAGTGCGATGGATTTATTACAAATCGCGACAGGTATTACAAAGTGTGATGATTATTACAAATTGCGACAGTACAAGGTGTACAAAAGGGTATGTTTTCTGTCAAAAATGGTAAGTGCAGGGTTAAGGGGTTAGTCCTCGGGGCGAAGCCTCCCCGTATAAAACTGTGTTGAGTAGCCTCCCCGGCTATTACGATCTAGAGTCAGTCAAAAAGAGAGTGCATCGTCTTCGTTTTTATTTTTGCTGTAGCAGAAAATCGTGGGGAATTTATAAGTTAGATAAGCTTCGAAAATTGTACGTGAATGGAACGGTCATCTAGAAATTTTTTGCCGCCCTGAAGTAAAAAAAATCCGAACAGATATTTTACAGAAAACAGTCGTTGGGTGCCCCTAAAGTTTTCCTTGTTGAAGAAAACTTGCTCTTGTAACTGGAGAGCTTTAAGGCGGTTTTCACGCTATGATTTTTCGAAAGAAAAACGAAAAGATATAAACTGGTCAAAAATCGGATACATTAAAATGATCTGTTGCATCGTCATATATTTTCTATTGAAATCGGGCACACAAAAAAAACAGCCTTAAAATAGCAGAACAAGAAATGAGAATGGATAAAACTTTTTAATACATTTCATTCCTATTTTCTAGTCAACTAAGTCGTGCAATTCGAACGCCCAAAGACGAGGTCTCTTCTTATAATACTTGAACCCGGTCTGTCATTAGGTTAAGGAGCCTGGCTAAAAAAACTCACCTACCGTAACAGCCGGTTATAAGCCCCCCCCCCCCCGCCCCTTATAAGGCCCCCAATTATAGACCAATCTTTCTATACATGCTATTATACGTCTCCTCGAATATAAGCCCCCCTCTAGCACCAATTATAAGCTTCCTGTGAAATCTATTTATTATCAATGAAGTTTTTTAGCTTAATATAAAACCAGTAAATGCAAATTGTATTTTGATCAGCACCGCTATAGCGTGTTTAAAAACTCATTTTCTATTCCGATTTTAAGCCTCCTTGGATATAAGACCCTCGGAAGTTACAGGGGCCAATCAAAACACGCGAAAACTGCTAGTATAGCTAGCCACTGAAAATGGCTTAACATCTACCCCTCTTTAGGGTCAGTGCATAGCGTCAAATAGTAATCGACGCTTATTGCATCGCGGTTTATCTCCACCATTATTTACCGCCTTTTGGTGGTAAGATAGTCGTGCACCTGTTCACTAGGAAACAAAATAAAATGGTGTCTTCAAGTATAGCGGTACCAAACGGTAATGCTAGCGGAAGATTTAATTTGGCCAACGATTCAGTTTTGTTTTCGGCTTGACTTATATCCCGGGCTGAAAAGTGATGACATCACCAAGTACGTGACTTGGGCAAACTGCTTTTATCTCTGTTCATTTAGAACGGTCCAATTTACTTATTATAGATCTTTAAACTATAGTTTTGGGGTAGGCTACAGAGTAATGCAATTCTGTGATAGTTGCGCCTTCTTGTTATTGTAAAAGGCGGTTTACATGCAATGATCACCTTGTAATATGTGTGTTTCTACTGATAGAAGCCTTGGGTTTATAAGTCACCTGGTTGGATGCCTAGGCTCCTGGAGGGGATACTCCCTAAAATGGCCTATACGGGGAGGCTCCGTCCGAAAGGGGTCCATTTTTCAGGCTTCAGGTTTATGAAAGGGTAGGGATTTTACTCTTTGAAGTATACGAAAGGGTAGAGAAATCTGTCATTTGGGTCTGTTAAAGGGCCCAAAGGGCTAACAGATGGATTTTATGGCTTTATAAAGTTTAGAAAACGTTTTATTTTTGTGATTAATTCCCAGTCAAATGACAGTACATTTACAGCAGACAAAACTGAGGAATGCAAAGTTCTAAAAGGTATATAAAAGGGTAAGGGGTTGGACCTTAGGAACCGTATAAAAGTTTTTTGAGTACCCCTCCCCCTCCCCCGGGCCTAGGCTAATCTCCCTTCTTTACTTAAGGTATATTACATATATACTGGGCAAAGGCGGCTATTCTATACCACAAACTTTATTGAATCGGCATATCCTCCTCAGGTTTCCTCCGAGCTAGATTTAAAATCAGAGGAGCTCCTATGTGGTCGATGTTGTGCTCAGACTAAGATAAAAGTGTAAGTATTTTCTACGAAACCATCAAAAATATAGAAAAAAAAGATAAAGTCGTGAAATTTATGGTACACTGTATACGAAAACGTATAAAGCAATAAAAGCCTTGCTAAATAAAAGACAATCGTACTCTTTACGGAAATTCTTACTGAGACTAACTTGCTGTAAGGGTATCTCCTACCGGGTATACTCATACGCTTTCCCCTACCGGGGCATACAGCACTGGTTATTTAGGTCCCCAGGTTATTGTGACGTCCTCCCCTCCCATTATCTAGGTTAATAATTAAGTAATAGAAAATGTTTTCTGTGTTTGCATAGCCTGATATAAACACGAGAGGGGTTGGGAGAATTCGAGACAGTTATGCAAACCCGAGACGAAGTCGAGGGTTTGCATAACTGTCGAGAATTCTCCCAACGCCTCGAGTGTTTATATCAGGCTATGAAAACACAGGAAAAAAGTTTTCTATTGCTTTTATAAAATAACTTTCCCGAGAAAAAAACGCAATATTCTTTGTATGGCACTGATTAAAAGAGAAATTCTTACCAGTCGCAAAATCTTGTCCACGAAGTCTTGCACGCGTAATCAGTTCTTGTTTTGCAAAAAGATGCTTTGCAAAGTACGGATTTTTCTCGCTTAAAACGGTCAGCTTAAGCGAAGAAAAATGTACACACCTTCTTTGTAACGATTTTCCAAGTTTCAGCCGACGAAGGAATGGGTAAATAAAGTAAACTTTTTGAGTTTTGAACTCGAAAACTTTTTCAAATTTGTGCTTGCGTGATTAGCGCGCGAAAAGCCAAACAGCTTGACGCCACAACCATGTTTACATACTCTCATGCAAACACGCCTCTCGGCCAATCAGAGCGCGCGTACTATCTTAGTTATTTTATAAACCCTGATAACTGGGTACGTCTTTATTTATAAACGCAATCGAACAGACAAGTCTGCAAATAGCTACATTGGATACTGAAATCAATATTGAGAGACTGTACGGGGAAAATCTCTGTTAAGGAGCAAACATAATGAGTTCGATCTTATTTGTTAGGAAAAATAATGGACAAGATTTGTACATACTGTTAGACTGATTGTCTTTTATTGAAAGCTTTAATCACGCATAAAAGCAAACTGCACTGACATGCAAGAAATATAACAAAGATGCTATCTAAGTAATGGGAAGGTTTGTTGACAAGAATCTCAATGTTATGAGTAAACACATATTCCTCTTTTTCCGCTGTGGCAGACATTCGAAAGGGAAGGGAAGGAATGGTTTAGGTGCGTGAGAAGCACTTAAGGGCGCGCGAAAAAGGAGGAAGGGGAACGATTTCCTCTCCTCTCTTCTCCCTCGCGCGCGGTCTCGCGCCTAAACTCCCTTTCCTTTCCCTAATTTCGAACTCCTTCCACACAGGCTAAAGATAATCAAGTTATCCTATAATCATATTCATCTTCCTAGCTAATTGATATAAATTTTTCGAGCTGCAATTTTAATCCTCGAATTCTAATCCCTTTTTAATAATGGTCTTCCCTCGAAGCGGTTTGGCTACAAAAGGAATCGTGCAGTGTGATTTAATTAAAGAACGATTTGATTTTAAAAATCATTTTCACTTCCGGATTTAATTAAAGATTTTTCAGTCGAAATATTTTAAATGCAAAGGTTACCTCTTCAGCATATTTTTTTTTTTTTCGCTTACATGAAAGATTATATCGCGACCTTTACTTTGACTACATCTTTATAGGAAATGAACGACAATCTGATGGTATAAATGGTAAGCCAAGAGTGAATTGGTTCCCCTGAAGCTGTTGTGACATATTTTGCATCCATAACATATCATCTACAAAAAGCATTTCCAATCAATCACTCTCAATCACAGCCATTTTGTCTCGTCACGGAACGAGAAGGAGCGGTACTTTACAAGACAAAACGGCTGCATGGTCAGGGAGATCAATTCCCTACGAGCTCGATCAGCCGATTATTGTGTCGTCACGAAAGGTGCCTCCCCACAAAGGAACTAAAGAAGGGCAGCGTGACAAAACAAAGAGCTGCTGCACAGGACTAACATGTCAACATAATAATACAAAATCATGATACTGTTATAATAGTTTACTATTGACCATCTAATGCAACGGAAGTAACCACAAAGGGCTAAAAAGAAAATAACCAAAAACAATACTGTCGCACCTTGCGCTTTACAGTCTATATTTGTAGAATGCTATTCTAAGGAAATTGAAACAGCGCTGAAGGTAAAGACTCCCCTCATTAGGACTGGGGCCTAGATACTTCTTCAATCATTATCCGGGACACTGAATTCCACCCGGTGTCACCATCACCCAGGGTCCAGCCACTACACTTTCCTACCCATAATTCCACTCTAACTGCGCCTTGTGGGATGTTTTCACAGTACCCCTCAAATGACCGATGATGCAGCAGATTAGGGTTCCCAGATGGCCAGTAGTTGAACAGCAGCCTCAATCGTCATTGGTCCACTGCATTCATTTCCATTGAACTTGAAATACCAGCGATTACACTTAGAATTACTTCCATAGACCCCCATGTTTCCCTGGAATGAGACTCTGAGCGCTGAATTAGACTGCAGTTTGTTAAATGTACAGTCCTGGAATAAAATAAAACAAATCAAACATATTGTAGTAAGGCGAGCAATCGTCTGTAATGATTGATACTAACAACTCCAGTCATGATTACTTCCTAATTTTTAAAAACTCTGTAATAGCTTAAATTTTCGTTGTCCTTATCCATATGGCCAGGAATCCTTTTATCACGCACGATAGTTTTCTTTTTTTCGTTCAAAAAAGAACCAAAGTAGAGAGAAATGTAACTTAGTTATTTATGTAATGTGTTGGCAAACGGTCAGTGAGAGGGGAGACTTTCTTCTTTGAAACATTTTAATTTAAAAAGGAATGAATTTTCTTATTCTCTTCTGATTCTTATTCTATTTACCTTAATCTTCCCGTTATCAGTATAGCTCGTTGATTTCCACACACATTGTTTCCAGTTGGTTTGTGGTACTACACTTGCTTGACTTGCTTTGGCGCTTTCTCCTTTCTCTCCTTTGTCTCCTTTTCTTCCCTGATTTCCCACAATGCCTCGCTCTCCTTTAATTCCGACTGCTCCGCGCACTCCTTTCATTCCCGCAATACCTTGCTTCCCTTTCATTCCCACAGCTCCGCGCACTTCTTTCATTCCCGCAATGCCTTACTCTCCTTTAATTGCCACTGCTCCGCGCACTCCTTTTATTCCCACAACCCCTTGCTTGCCTTTCGATTCCGCAATGCCTCGCTCTCCTTTCATTCCCACAAGTCCCTGTTCACCTTTCATTCCCTTAATTCCTCGTGGTCTATTCTTCCCAGAGGTTCCTTCGCGCCCTCTGTCTCCTCTTGGACCCGGCATTCCTTGTGATCCTTTATCACCAATTTGTCCTTTTACACCTTCCCTTACCTGAGGTCCGTGTGGCCCCGGTATACCATTTGATCCTGCAATACCAGGGAAACCCAGCATAGATCGCTGAAAGTAAAGATGACTTGTAATTAGCACAGAGGAAGACGACACGGGATCTTAATAACTCGGGGGTGGGGGCTGGATGCACTCCTGGGAATTCTTGGTGGGGATGTGCCGCCCGGTTCCCCAAATCCTGACTCTATTTCAGACCAAAACACGTCATTTTTTACACCCGTTTTCAGACTTGGCCTCTAAAAGCCATACCAGTTTTAGGACCTTGTCTCTAAGAATTTAGGGACCGGTCATTATTTATCGCCTTGGGGGGGGGTTGGGGTTCGGAGGATTTTGGGCTAAACACGATGAAATTTAGCCGATCCCTCCTTTAAATGTTATTTTATTGAAGTGATCCCCCCTCATAACTATATATAACTTTCGTGATCCCCCCCCCCCCCCCCCCCCCGCATGTCTTTGTACCCATATTCACCTTTCGACGGGTATATTTAGTGTTTTAAACGTTCATATACAGGTAGTATTTCTAACTATGATGTACTTACAGCATAATAAAGCCGTTATCGCGCAGTCTTTTTTTAAAAAGTGTCTCTTGATCCGTGTCTTTTTCTAGTCTGGATCCAGACATCTGAATTCAGTTGACATACAAGCAATCTTGCTTAAAACTGCAAAGTGCTTGAAACTGCAATCAGTGCTTGAAACTGTAAAGTTACTTTTTTTAGAGTGCCAAATAGCAGTCCGCCAAGTCCCTATCAGCAGGTCATATTTAGCGACAATTCGGCCATCTGGAAGGGCTAGGTTCGGCCACTGTTCCTGACTCCTTTTTTATTTTCATCTATAGTGTAATAGATCAGCCTTTGTAGCTTTGCTCACATTTTTATAATTTTTTTTGTTCGTTTTTTTGTTTGTTTTCTTTTTGTTTTCCTTTTTTTTTTCATCCAGTGTTTGCTTGTACAGTAACTTCAGCTATTTGGTCCTGCCGAAGGGGACTAAATGTTGCTGTTGAGGAAGCGTTGATGATGTTGGTGTTTAAGGTGTTGTAAAATTTAGGTCCTTGATAAAAAACGGAAAATTGCTTGGTTCGAGTACGACAGAAAGGCAGACGAAATTTACACGAGTTTCTTGTATTATACGAATGAATTTGACTTTGTAAGGTAAATTTACAATGAAATTTTAAAGGTAGAGTATGGTTTTGATAGGAGTACATGAATAAGCCTAGTTGTATTAAGTATATATCATGAAATTTTAAGACACCAAGATTTTGAAAGATTGGATCAGTATGTGCATCGAAAGTGGTTTTAGCTATAGTTCTGATCACTCGTTTCTGTAAAATCTCAAGACGAATAAGGTTAGTTCTGTAAGTAGAGGCCCAAACTAAGTTGCAGTAAAAAAGGTATGGATAGACTAGAGAAAAATATAGTGTTCGTAAGGTTTTCGTTGATAAATAGAAACTGGATTTACGAATAATTCCTGTGCATTTAGAAACTTTATTGGCGACATGTGAGATTTCAGATTTCCAATTTAACTTTTCGTCCATGATTACTCCCAGGAAAACTGTTTCTTTTACTTGATCAATTTTTTGACTATTAATTAAAAGTTGAATAGTTTGATTTGTACGCTTTTGGGATGGTTTAAATGCAATGAATTTGGTTTTTTTCAAGTTTAATGAAAGCCTGTTAGCTCTAAACCATATTGACAACTTATTTAGTTCAGCGTTCAGTATATTAGTAAGACAGTCTTTATCCTTGTGAGACACAAATACGTTTGTATCATCGGCAAATAGTATCAGTTGTAATATTGTTGACGTGTTGGTTATATCGTTGATGTAGAGTAGAAAAAACAAAGGCCCTAGTATTGAACCTTGGGGAACGCCACACATGATATTAGCACGATACGAAACATAACCATTGTATTCTACAAATTGAAGTCTGTTGGAAAAATAGTTCTTAATCCATTTCAGAGCCAAGCCACGTATACCATAGTGTTCAAGTTTATCAAATAAGATGGAATGATTGACTGTATCGAAAGCTTTCGAGAGATCTAAAAAGACACCAACCGCTAATTCACCACGATCAATAGCAGATGAAATTTTTTCATGCAAATCAATCAAGGCAAGCGTCGTAGAGTGGTTTTTCCTGAAGCCGAACTGGTTATCACAGAGAATATGTAAATTAGTTAAATAATCATACAAACGATTATAGATGATTCTCTCTAGAAATTTTGAAAAGCTTGGTAGAACCGAGACAGGCCTATAGTTAGTGAATAGTGACTGGTCATCAGCTTTAAACAGAGGTACCACACGAGCTATTTTCATTTGATCTGGTACAACGCCATGAGCGATCGATAAATTCATAATGTGAGCCAGAGGTCCCGAAATGATTTGAATGGATTCCTTAATTATAGACATTGGAATATTATCATATCCAGCCGCTTTCCCGGAAGCAAAAGATTGAGCAATGGTAATAATTTCATCCTCTGTTGTTGGGCTAAAAAGATTGATTCTCGAAATGATCCAGATAGAAAATCTTTTATGTGAACAAGGAGGAGGCTGTATCTTCTTTGCGAGGTTGGGACCAATACTAGAGAAGTAGCTGCAAAACCTATCTGCTACTTCCACTGGATCAGAAATCTCCTGACCGTCTGACTTAAATATTGTATTTAATTGAGGCCTCGACTTTTTTCTATTTAAGACTTCGTTTAAAATTTTCCAGGTCGCATTTGTATTTGATTTAGCATCTTCCAATTTCTTTTCATAATACCGACGCTTAGCCAAACGCAAGGTGTGATTCAATTTGTTCTTGTATCTTTTGTAGAGTGAACAATTGTCGACTGTTGGAACTTGAAGATATTTTTTGTAAAGTTTATTCTTTGTTTTAATTGATTTAAGAAGAGCTTTCGTTAACCACGGTTTTTTAAAGCGCCTCTGCTTTCTAGTCGCCTTCTTGAGAGGGAAGCAATCGTTATAAATCTTTGTATACATTTCATGAAAGCGTTTGTACGCAATATCTGGTCTATCTGGCTCATCACAAGTTTTAATCGAAGACCAATCAACAGCTTCTAGTTTTTCAACAAAAGTAGGAATATTATTCGGATTCTTATCTCTAATAAAGAAGGGGTCTTGTCGACATCGATTTACCGACGTGTTAACGTTATCTGAATGAATTGAGAAGACGGGTAGATGATCTGAAATGTCAGTAAATAATAAGCCGCTTCTCGAACGTTCAAAAAAGTTGTTCGCAAAAATATTATCTATTAACGTAGCAGTATGTGAAGTAATTCTCGAGGGACGCGTAATCAAAGGAAAAAACATATTAAAGTACATTCCATCTAGGAATTGGCCTGTGAGGTGATGATTTTGGTAGTTAATTAAATTAATATTAAAGTCCCCCATTAGGAAGCATATTTTGTTTTCTCTAGAGATATTACCTAACAACTCATTGTTTGTAGACAAGAAATCGTCGAGTCTATGATTTGGCGGTCTGTAAACAATACCAACAATTATATTTTTTTCTCGAGGTCTTATTAATTCAATGAACAGTGATTCTACAGTATCAACATTATGGAGGGACAAATCTTCTCGAAGTTTGAACTCTAGATCGTTTGAAATATAAAGCCCTACCCCACCTCCATTTCTATTTTGCCTATACTTGTGAAGAAATTTGAAACCATTAATATCGACCGAATGAGCAGAATCGTTTAGCCAGGTCTCAGAAATTCCGATTACAGAAAATTTTATGTTTAAGCATGATAGATAGTCAGTCAGCTTTACTAAATTATGAGGAAGACTACGAATATTAAGATGTAGGAAAGAGAAATCGGCATCAGAATAATTTTCGCGTCTGAGCATTTCGTTAAATTGATTTTCAATAAAATAGTCGCAGGGTGTCTCAACTGCATGAAAATTAATGTCAGGATCAAGACTGCCAGACTGTGTCAAAGAAGCGTTTGAGTTTGAAAAAATTGGATTGTAACGTAAGCTAGAAAATCTATCGGGATCAAAGTGAACAGGACCATTCTGTAGTTCATATAGCGCCAGAGAAAAGCTAGAATCATCTAAATGATTAAAGGGCAGTACATCTGATAGCGAGTATTGTGTCACTGTAATAAACTTATCTATAATTTAACCACTTATCTGATTTAGCCACGTCTGTCCTTTACAATCAATTTGTCCAACACAAAGTACGCTATTGTTCCATTCCGCTTTGCTTCCTCCAGCTTGGGTCTCTGCTCTTCACGCTTATCAAGGGTCTCCTTAGCAAGATCTTCATTTATGTATAAACCGACAGGTTTAGTTCTTCTTGTCGCCTTCAATATTTGCTTCTTTTGCTTAAAGTCTCGAAGTTTGCACACAATTGTGCGAGGGCGTCTTCTAGGGCCAGAAGCAACCCTACCAACACGATGAGCACGTTCGATGTGGAGCGCTTCTTCAAGGTTGAGCTTCTCCGCTAGAACTTGTTTGACTGACTTTTTCCTCTGTAGTGTCCCACGATTCGTTTTCTTCTTCTAAGATCCCATCAATTCTGATGTTGTTTCTTCTACTCTGATTCTCCAAATATTCGAACTTGTCCATATGGTAGTCGATAGAGTCGTAGATGTCCTCGATGTCATCCTCTATCTCAGCAAGTTTGGTTTTACACGGCTTCAGTTGGTCCATATCTTTCTGAGAGAATTCAAGACTTCTGGCATATGTTTAGGCGAGTCTTAAGTTCAGCCACAGTTCCAACCACTGTATCTAGTCGAGAATTGAAATTGCTCACAAGCGAATCTACAAGGGTTTTAAACATCCTTTCTTGAAGCTGAAGCATCTCATTCAACATCGCCGTCGTTACAAATTCATTCGAGGGATTCTTGTCAGCGCTTGGTGAGCCGCCGGATGTCTTAGAATTACGTGTTTCTGGCATAATTTTAGCGCACAGGAAAAACAAAAATACTGACAAATCGATGAAATAGGCAAGAAAAAGAGCGAAATAATCAAAATACGAGGAGCTAAAAAATTAGCGTTTAGTATAGAGCTGACACAGGACGCCCATTCCTGGAGAGGCGATAAATGGTTTATGTTTAAACAAACACGCTTTTTACAATGTTTCAGTTATCAGAAGTTTATATAGTTCACAATTTAGAATTCACCTGTCATGTTTAAAGATGAATATTAGCTAAGTCATGAGCACGTTATAAAAGGAAAAATATAAAAGCGTTAAAACAAAGCTTTCTCGATATAAATTGAAATGCACACATTCACCAGTGTGACAGACTTCCGTTTTTTAAATAAAGTTGTGTTAGAACAAATTGAGATTGCAAATGCTATCATCTCCCAGCAGAATGGGCACATTTATGTTGTACAGGGGCGGATCTAGAGGGAGGGTGCAGGTGCACCCCCCCCCCGAGATGACCTGCGGTTTTCTAATACGACTGGTATTCTGCAAAAAAAAATAAACTATGAGGTTTATTGGTGTTCAAGTAGAGCAACAGACGAGTGCACCCCCTCCTAAAAAAAATCCTGGATCCGATTCTCGCCCGGGACATGAAAATTTCCTTTGTCCCGGGCGAGCATGGTTTCTCCTTCTACCAAGTTGAAAATGTTCACTGGAAGTGTATGTGTGCTGCTAATTAATAAAAATAAAAATATATTAATTTACGCAACCACGAGTTCGTGAGAAAAAAAAAACAAAACAAAACAAAATGGCGGGTGAAAGGTAAGTGAAGCCGACTGATTTAAATTTTTCTTTTTATGATCCTAGTTGATCCGAGTCCAATTTTATTTTATTTTTTATTTTTTTATTCGATCCGAGTCGATCCGACCCAGACTGGCGGTCAGAGTTATCCGGTCCGACTAGCTAAAATGTTCGTTTGTCCAGTGCCGAAAATATCACAAGTCATGATGAAATGGTGCCGCCGAGCTTTACATCTCTGTAGATTTACTTTGTGGAATAACGGCCGCCGCCGAGCTTCACATCTCGGTAGATTTACTTTGTGGAATAACGGCCGCCGAGCTACACAGCTCGGTAGATTTACTTTATGGCAAAACAGACGCTGAGCTTCACAACTCGCCGGTAAATTTACTTTGTGGCACAATGGACTCCGAGCTGAACAACCCGCCAGGAGTAGCACACATTTTCCAAAGAAAAATATGAAGGCTTAATCCAAAGTAAAATTTTACTGAGGGTGTAAACTTTCAGCACACTTTTGAAAGATGAACACCTTGGAAGCTAGATTCATTTAAACACAGATCGATAGTGGAACTTCAGCAAACTCTTAAATATGTACGCTTTACGAAAATTCAGCACACAAGTTTAAAAGATGAACGATTTACGAAAACGGAATAGCAGACCTCAGCATTGAACGTTTGAAAGATGAACTCCAAGGACAAACGAATCACCAAATGAGTTTGCGCGTCCAAGTGAGGCAAAATGTAAGCAAGCGCCTCAAAGCGAGGCAAATGTGTGTCGACGACGAATATGCAATCTCGAAAAAGCCTCCCTTATTTAATGGCACAGGACACCCAATAATGCATAGACCACCCAACACAAATTAGGGGTTGCGTTCGAGTAACGAGAACGCAACTAGACATGTGTTAGAAGTACAGAAAAAAGTATCTCCTTCCTCTACTGCTGTGACCTCATTGAGATGATTGTTTGCACACAAAAAAATAATAAAATAAAATACAACAAGAACGAACAAAAACCTAGCACAATTTTTTTACGGTCATGAACCCACAGATTCAAGTTATTGCCAGTCCTGTTAAACCTACCTCATTCTTAGCTGTCGCTTATAGGCCGTGGTATTATGCACCTTCTTAAGGGGTTTTAGGAAGGTGTATAAACGGAGGGGCTTTAATATCCAAGGGGGCTTATTGATGGTAAAGAAAAAGAGCTTTGAAATAAGCTGTAGTATTGCTGATCAAAATACATTTTTGCATTAACCGCTCGTTCAAAAGGCTTCAAAACGTCATTATAAATCGAATTGAATCCAGTTAAAGGAAGAGGGCAGCGTGTTATTTTCGGAGAGGCTTATATTCGGACAATTTTTTGTTTGTTTGTTTTTGTTTGGTTTACAGCTGTGATATGGGCCCATAAGTGAGGAAGAGGGCTTATAAGTGAAGGCGCTTATTCGCCACTTTGGGGTTGCGTGGGAGACTGGATCGAGATGTTTAATTTGTCGATCAAGTGCATTGTGGGACATTTGAGAGGACGCGTTTTTAACAGTGGCGAATAAGCGGCAGTTAACGGTGTTTCACGGCATTGGTTCAGATTTTAAGATCCAGAGGAAAAAGAGTAAACTGTTCTTCACTGACGCGCTAAATGCATGTAACAAGTGCATTCGTATGCACTGTACACTACATAGAGCGGTTACAGAGCTGAGTGATATTTCAATGGAAGGATTCTACATGTATAGTAAACAATATTATTTTCAGGGTTTCCGGTAACTCGTCTTTGCAGAGACTTCATTCCTTTCATCTCACGCTGAATCGATCGTCCCCGTCTTTTTACTCAGTTCCTAAATTCTTGGCCACTACAGCTAAAAGAACACTACTTTCATAAAAAAAAGCGTACATCAAGACGTAGACAGGGCTTACAGATGTTAAAAACTCGAGAAAACGTTCTGGTTTCGTGATTTTCCTGTTTCATATTTAAAAGAGTGCTTTTATAACAGTAAAAAAAAAAAAGGATGTAAAGTTCTCAACGAGGTATGTTCAAAGAAGCACTATTTGTCAATGCAAAGTATAAGAAAGGGTATCTTGTCTGTCAAAAATGGTACGTAAAAGGGTTAAGGGGTTGGACGGGTTGGACCTCGGGGCGGAGCCTCCCCCACGCCCCCCTCCGGCCATTATGATCTAGAGTCAGTCAAAAACAGAGTGTCTTTGTTCTTATTTTTGCTGTAGCAGACGTCGTTACATAATGTGGAACGTGACCTTCCTTTTTGCAACCCATGCTTGCTGCAAAACAACTGCGAGACATTTATGTTAGAGGCAGCTTGCTTCCCGCGCGATGACAAAATTGTGAGTCAAGTAGTACGTAACATAATGGGGCTACGTAGCAACGGCGGAGGAAGTTTTCCTTATTAAACTTGGGGTGCTTTCCATTTAGGAAAAAAACCCGGAAATTTCGGTGGGAGAAAAGTGGAATTTCCGATTGGTAAAAAGTTGTTCCATTTGGTCGTAAACCCCAGTACGTCGCGGTTCCCGACCGTGGACCTGGAACTGGTACAAACTACGAGAATCGTAAATGGAACACGACATTCCGTTCGGAAATTCCAACCGGGAAAACGGGCCCACCTTTTTAGATTTTCCACTTTTTCTGGGAATTTTCCAATGAGACGAACCGACGAAACGTGTTCCATTTACCGCCGAACCGGAAATTCCGGAAATTTTGACTAAATGGAAAGCGCCCTTGCTCTTGTAACTGAGGGTTGTCACGCTATGATTTTTCGAAAGAAAAACGAAAAGATTAAAACTGGCTGAAAACCGGATAGATTAAAATAATCTGTTGCATCACCATATATTTTCTTTGGAGATAAATAGGGCATACAATCTCTGTGTGAAAACCAGCTCTTAAATAGCAAAACAAAAAAGGAAAATGGATAAAAACATTTTTATACATTTTATTACTATTTTCTACTCAACTAAGTCGTGCAATGCGAACGCCCAAAGACGAGTTTTAGTTTCTCTTTTTACAAAACTCAAACCCACTTCGTACGGTCTGGCATGAATTATTTTAGGGTACAAGCTCGCCTGTTTATTAATTTTAATAGCAACATAGTGAAGCCCCGCCATACGACCACCTCCTTATTACGACCATATTCTCTAAATTCAAACATAGAAATCAGGCTTATTTTAATTTTTATTTTTTTCGAAAATCAGCCGTTAATGCGACCACCTCATTTTTACGACTAGGATTTTATGGCCCAACGGTGGTAACATTAACAGGGTTCCACTGTAGTTAATGGCTTTATGACTCCCGTTTGAGGATCTAGACTGACCTTCACTGAAAGAGGGCTAATCGAGTAACAATGCGCTTAACATCAACTGCGTTCTGCCCTTGAATATAAATCAGTATTTTTTAACTGTACTTTTACTGTAAATCCATCCTTAACCGCTTTAAATAACGTATTCACAAGTATATCATAGTCATTAAAATAAAGTACAAGAATAGTTACGAATAAATAAGAACTTGTTTCAATAATTAAGACAGTTTAGACTTGTTTCCTTCGGTAAGGCTCTTTTAAAAAAGGAAGACACCAAGATGCCGAAAAACAGAGGACATTATAAATAACCTCCGTCTAAATGCATTTATAGACATAATAGTCTGTTTACTTTTAAAAGTTACTTCATTCTATAACTAACAGAAAAACATTTAATTATTCAGTCCGCTGCACTATTAGCTTTCTACTGTATCCGCTTTATCCACAGGGTCTTTGTCAAACTGTGACCTTTTCAATCCAAGAAATCTTAGAGCATTTCCGCCTAACAATTTATCCTACAACAACAGATGGATTTTGAATTAAAAGGTTTTCATCTGAAGTTAGACTATTTACAGTCCCCTATTTCTTCGTAAGATCGACAGGATAGAGCGATAGCTTACCGGAACGGACGGTTATCTAGTAAACATGAACCGAGGGAGCGGGCGTGGGGCTTCACCTATCCAAGATTGCCGCCCG